ACATATTATTAAAATATGGGCTGTAATGGTTGTATTGATGTATAGCAACTTGAAATGCTCCCAAAAATGGCTCCACAGCATGTAGAAATATAATATAAGCTCTGGCGGACTTGGTTCTATGGTAGGTCTTAAAGGGTTAATGTAAAGAAACTATTAATGGAGCACCATAGTACTGCTCAAAGTGCTTCACAGAACTAAATAAAATAAACCTCATTTCTATTGTTGGTTCTGTACAGTTTGGTTAGTGTCCAGCGATTTTACTCGCGGGCTTGCAGCTGACGTGGGCTACCTGAGAGCAGTGAGGCTGATCCAGAACAGCTCAGGCCTGTGACACTGAGCTGATGGGAAGAGTCATAAAATCCCTGTTAGCTTTATATGCAACGTTATGAGCCCGTGTAAAGCACAGCTTTTAATAACATCACTGAAGCAAAACCTTTTAAAAGTCACTTGTACCATTTTATATAGAAACAAAATTATTTTAGCGCTCTCAGATGAAAGTACCCCTCCTCCCCCTCTGAGGCTTCAGCACTTTAAAATATTCCAGTGATGGTTGTCAGCATTCCCACTGCCGCACAGCAAACGGTGACTGCTGATTAACTCGGCATACTTTATTTTTCTGATTGTAAACTTCCCCTCACAAACACAAGGTTTGAGCAGTAGCCGGGAGGAATGACCATATTTGGAATATCTACTCTGACGTCCCACAGAGATGTGCTTCGAGCGGCCTCTGAATCACAGCTCGGGTTTCACTCAGTATGTCCAGATAATCCCTGTGTGAAACGTCTTTAATCTGAGCATCCATCAAACTTGCTGTAAAGGCTTTAAAAGGAAAGCTGGTGAGCATGCTTATGTAATGTGGTTTCAGCTCGACCTCATGGCAAACAAACACAAAATAACATCAATAATTGTCTTGTTGTTGTTTACATTCGGCCCAGAATGCTTGAAATGGTTAATGTCTGCAGCACAAACACGTTGTGGAGACTCTTAACCGTTCACCCGTCGCTGCGGCAACCAAGGGAAAAAATGTCAGACCATTATATTCGAACTTGAATCATAAAAAGTTTTTATTGCCCTGCTGAGAAGTTTTACTATTTAAACCTAACAGAGTCGATTTTATTGTCTGATCCTAACAGATGACACCATTAAAATAACTAATGGGCTAATAAATAAACATGAGTGGTGAAACGATCCATGGCAGCGTCAAACCTCCGGCATCCAAATGTGGACTTTTTCACTATATATATTTTTATTTAAGTGAAAAATATTCACTTTGTGTACATGGATGCAAATTGGTACATGTGAGATGGGACCAATGGGAAAATTAATGGAAAAATCTAAATTGGTTGCTGACGGAGGAATTTAGACTCCACAAGATGTCTTATTTTTCCCCGTTCCACAGTGAGTGGGTGCTGCTCGCCGTAAACAGTCAGAGTGAGGTGTGCCTGCGGCAGGAGAGCAAATCCTTCTCTGCACCGTCCATAGATTTTTCACTAGGCGCTCTTTGGAGGGGAAA